CAATCCACAGAGTTCACCTACCTTAGTTTCACTTTGAGGTTTCAGGTTCAGTGACAAACCCCAAGTTTTGCCTGGCTATTGGGTTGAAACCTCAAGCATAACCATAAATCTCTCTCCAAAGCTTGTATGGAGGGAGACAGTTCACTGAAAACACCGTAGATTCACTGAGATTTGTGACCCATTGAAGGCAATCTGGGCTGAATTTTCAGTGAACCCTTCCTTACAGGCTCAAGGGGGGCTTTAGAAACCTTGGCCAAGTTTTGGATTTGTAATAAAATTAGTAACCAGAAAGTTTGTCTGATTTTCAAATGTCCATTAGTGATATTCTGGTTCCTGGGGAATTTAGAATTTCTCTCCAGTTTCAGTAGGATGTTTATTCCTCACTTCCTGCCATAGACAGTGTTGCTGTGTGATGTTAAATAGGAGTTACCTTCCACCCCACTGTAACAGCATTCCATTGGTGGATGAAGTAACTCCTGTATTTACTGCATATACATTTGAAGTTCATAAAGAGTGTAAAGCATTTCATGCTGAAACATGCTATACAAATGTAAGCCATGTTCTCATAGTTAGATTTAAAAGAAATCAACATTTCAAAGATGTCCTACCTAGATTTTACATGGCATACTACGCAGATGTTGACTTACATGAGCAGAATGGTGTATGTACAGTAGTGATGAAAACATACAGAAAATCCAGGTTGTTTTACATGTTAATTTTAACACCTTTAAGCCAAGTCACTATATCACATTTCATATGGCAGGCATCTAGTCAAACGTGATTGCTCAGACTTAAAGGGGGAAACCCACTTGAGTGCAAATAAGGCATCAATGTCTGGCTGTACCTTTGGGAGCGACTTCCTGAAGCAGTCAGTAAAAGCAGAACTTTGCAGTGGTTAAGCAATAGGGTTGTCATGATCAAGGCTTAACAATAGTGGAAATAACAAAACATAAAGAGGTAGGGTCAACTGCTTTGCACTAATTTAACATTTTGTTTATTACATTGGCCTGCTTATAGAATAGCTTTCTGGGCTCAATTGCTTTTTCTGTCATAGGGACTGTAACAAAGATGGTGGTCTTTCACATTTGATTTGTACAGTATTTGTAAATATTCAATGTGATATTGCAATGTCTTATTGCGGTACTTCCTTTGTGACTTTCCACAGAGATCCCCATTATTGTTTCAGTACCAGTTCACTTAGGCATTCTATTTTTTTCCTCTTTATTCGTTAGGGAAGTATATCAGTGTCACAAAAGGCTGAGTTTTTAAAACCCTCTGGTCTGTATTTTGCTTTTGCTTACACTATTATAAATGAAGAAATAATTCCACTGAAGTCAAGGGAAGCTACAACTGTAAAATCATGGTGAGATGAGAATTCAGTCTCTGATTATTAAAATCCTGCAGTTAGCCCACAGATCTAAAAGATGTACTTTAGTACACTGGCTTAATAAACTGATCTATTTTGAATATAAATGAGACCATCAAGACCCACATCCTGACCCGCATCCTCAAACACCTCAGGATATGTGGTACTTTTCACTCTCTTTGCAAAGGTACTTTTCACTCTCTTGAATTTGGGGCCATCTAGATGTTGATCCAGTCTTTGACATAAATTAAAGCAACCCTAAGGGGTCTGAATTGGCCCCTCTTCACAGAGATAATCTTCCTGTGGTCAGGTACACCAACTTTGCATTGCTCGAGTGGTGCAAAACTGCCCTAACACAGAGCGGGATCTGGGATCAAATATTTGGGGGCAACTCTTCATACGTTGGCACCTTAAATTGCATCTGGAAATTATTATTATTGTATTTATTAATTTACATTGTGGTAGTATCCAAAATGTGTTAAGTGCTTTCCCGGCATTGTAAAAATCTGCATTTGAGCACAAAAGCTAAACCCATCCAGAGGTGCCTATTTGCCCCCTAAATTACCTGTGTTGTGTGCACAGCTGCCTGTTTGATTGCTCAGTGCTTGGGTGGACTAATGTTGCAGGGTGCAACTTGGGTGCTGGGTTTGAACAGAGAAATAGTGATTTTTTCAAACAGATGGTTACAGAACCTGAATCTGAGTTCAGGAGTTAACATATTATAGATAAAATCATAGTATCCAACAATAACCTGAGACTGAAATATTGAAATCAAGGGTCTCTGGGGGTTATGGTTGCTCCTGTTTCTCCCTAGCAAGGTTTGGAAATGCAAATGACAGGACCTCCTGGTTGCATCTGCAGATATTGCTGGGCACAATTTCTGAGGCCCATTAAAATGTATCCCATGAAAGACATTTGATTAGCAGCCTAAAGAGATTGAAGTCCTCTATCCACCAAACAGGTTCTGTCCAGGCAACAGTAGTGAAATCTTTCCCACACTCTGCCCCATCAATGTGTCTCAACTCTGGCTTGCAGTGACTAGCTTTAGTGTGAGTGCATAATTCATGTTCTGTGCTCATTCAGTCCTTGATGTTTCTACTGAGATGGCCAATTTTGTCTATTTTAGTGTGGTGGGCTAGGATCTGAAGTGAAAGCTCTGGACCATTTTACATAGCCATTGAGATAGCCATTAGATGGTGACAACTTTCAGACACAACTGACCTGAGTTGGATTCAGTTAGGTGACCAACAGGAGAAAAGTTCCACGTTCCATTACCAGTCATTGAAGTCACCCCACCTCCTCCATGTGAGTGTGTAATATATAAATATAAATATAAAATACACTGTAATTATGCATGGCCAGAACAGAGAAATGACCTAGTGTATAAAACAGGAAAAGGTCATCAACTCACAGAGTCAAGGATTATGTATTAGAAATTAATAATAAAGGAAGATGAACGCAAAAGGAACCGCTAACCTTTCTGTCTGACTGTTAAATGAGCTCCAGAGGTAGTTTTGCTAGGATAATGAGGATGAGACTTCTGTCCACCCAAGACAGCTACTTTAGTTTTGTTTGCCAAAATTTTGTAGGGACTTTGAATATCTCTCTTCCTGGTGCACAGCATCCCCTGCCACTACCAGTCAATAATGCTTCCCACTTATCTTGTGGAAAGCTTGTTTTGAAGTCTTCATCACTAAGCCAACACTGCAACTGGAAAACAAGTGGCTAATTTTAATTATGCACTGGCCACAGGCCTGAGTTTGTGTGCTGATGTCCCTCTTCAACACAGCGATGAAAAAGTGATCTAAGTGTAACTGGTCGTGCTATGTATAAAAATACCTTTTGATAGTTCTATAATGTTCCTATGCTGTCTGTGTATAAGACACTAGTCCCCAGAGTTCTGTACACAGACTTACTTTGCATTTAGATAATGCTGTATGTGGACCTTGGCTCCTCATAGGTGCAGCTGTTTGAAAAAAACCTTTCTGTCAGGAACCAATGAAAATGAATACTAACCGCCTTGTGCAAATTCTTGTAATGTGCCATTGCATGAGCAGTTGGGAAGGTTGAAAGCCACACAAAAGAGCACTCTTTCATGCTTGTACTCCCCCTTCCTGCCCGAATGTTATACATATCTTTCTTTTGGGGAATTCTATGCTTGAGTGCTGTGATATAAACTTCACAGCTTGCAGTGAGATCTCGTGGAAAACAGCTGTGTGTGTTCAAGGCACTATCCTTTTACATTTTCCTGACATCGTTTACAGTTTCAGTATAAAGAGCCAGGGAGTATGGCATTGCAAAGTGATGCCCTGCTTTTGCAAACAAAGGGGATGGGGGACTCTGTGCCACCTGCTCTGTCATTTTCACAAACGATAGAGTAAAACAAGATTCAAACTGCTAACTGTTCGTTGGATGATAACCTTATGCCAGCAGTGATTCCATCAATCATCCAGATCAGCTTCCACCCCCCCCCCTCCCCAGCTAACCACTCCCTCAGTATTATGCTCCTACAGGCATGATGGTGAAGCAAGGAAGAATGTTAACCTCTTGGAGACCTGACAGCAAACAACGTTGTGAGGTTCCAGGGCCTTAGTTGGGCATTGCAAGGGCTGCTGACATGCTAGTAAGTTAAAGACTGTGGCAGAGCACCTCTGCAAGAACTAGCTGGCCAGAGAGATTGCCTGTTTTCTCAATGCTGAGAAATCGAATCCTCAGCTTCGATCCGAAACTCTCATCACAGCACTGTTAGAAAAAAATAATGCAACTGTTTACAAACACAATATGCCCCACTGCAAACAAGAGCCGTGTCACATTCAGTAAAGCAGGAGAAACCTTTTGCTTGTTTTTTCCTGACTATTTGAGGGACAGGTTGTTTAGTAAAATCACCAATTATGCCCATGATGAATGCGATCTCTGTTTCCATGTTGCACTGGGACAGGCTTCCCCACCTTAGTAAATCTAGCCTGTGGTGCTAACTGGGGAAAGGAGCAGTCTTGGCAAACATCTTATTAGTCTAAAATAAATTATTCAGAATGCAGGTTCGGCTACAGATTTCAGGGAAGGATAATGGAATTGGTTTTCTGAGCCTGTTCAGGCTGTACAGACATGGAGTATGCTTTTCAGGAATTCACTTAAGTGGAATCAGCTTTGTGTAATGCAGCCTGGAAGTAATATTGCTGCCATCCAGCTAGTGTCTGTGGAACAGCATCCTCTTAGCACTTGAAGTATCCGTAGTTTATATAGAGATAGAGATCTAATTTTTTTGGTGATTGTTAAAAAAGGAAATTCTAGCCGCTAGAGAGGGGCATGCCTTGTTCAGCATATTTTTTGTTGTTGTTCGTTGAAATAGTTGACCACATCAGCATCCCATTCGGGTGTGTCATGTGGTTTCTCATGTGATGCTGGGCTCCCTGCGCTTTGGAGAGTGAGCCTTTGTGACTCGGCACTCCTGGACAGTAACATTCAGCAACACAAGAGACTTTGGGGGAGGGGGAAAAGAGCCCCCGCAAAAGCCCAGAACAATAGAAATAAAGTTGAATCAATTTATTATTATATTTATAATAATTATTATTAATTCTTAACTCTTTGGCTTTTATTTTTCATTTTGGGACTTCCCGTTCCTCCGTTCCTGCAGGCTTCGAGCTGCGCTGTTTGGAAGAAGCAACGTCGTCGTCTCTCACAGCTACGACGCGGCACTGCTCTCAGCATATCCTGCTTTTTCCCCCCATTTACCTGGGCGGCTTCTGCTGTCTCTGTTGCTGCTGCTGGGGCTGCTGCAGTTTCGCTGCCTGTGCTTCACCCTGGCATGTCTGAGTCGGGAATCACTCGTCTGCACGCTGCTAAGGAAGAGCAGCGATGGAACTCTGGCCACATTTTTTTTTTCTGTTGGTGCTGGAAGAGAAGGGTTGTGATGTGGGGGTGAGGGTTTTTTTGGAAGGGTGGGGACGTTAATCCAAAGTGAGGTGGGAGAAAGTTTAAAGAAATATTACGCAAAATAATCCAGCACACGACAAGGGCATCAGCAGCAAGAATCCAGCCTCTGCTGCTCGAAAGGATTAACATGGGAAAAGCCACAGTGATGCAGTAGTGTTTCACCTCAGCATTGTGCTGGAGATGGATAAATAAGGTATCTGATATGTCCGCCTGTAAAGGCAAAGCTATGGGAGGAAGAGAGCGAGAGAGCAAATGAAAAGGAAGAAGAAACACTGTATTCTGTTTGTCTGATTCTGTGCATTCTTATTCTAGAGATGGTTGCATAATTTACCAAACAATGTATGGACGGAGGGACTGTAAATTGTAGTCTGAACACTCCCGACGCTGTCAGGGAGGGAACTGATGGGCTAGGTGACTGCACTGACATCCCCAGGGAAAACAGCCGTCATGCAGTATATATTTATATATGTATGTGTATCTCTTGTGTGTCCATGTGCAGACATGAAAAAAGGCATTTCTACCAATTTACACAGGAAGTTTGTCACTTTGCTAGATCAGACTTGATTGCAGCTTATATTTTCAGCTACAGCTCTACACCCATTTCCTGAATCAGAAGGTGTTTTGTGAAAACAGACGTATGCAGAATTCTTTTAAGAAATGTGAAAGCAGCTCCTTTTGATTTAACACCTTGAAGCACTGAATCTTCGGTACTGTGCCGAGAGGAGCTGTGTGGGTTTTGTTTTTTTCATCTTAAAATCTTTATAAACACAGCTGTATTCAGTATGGTGAAAAATTCTATACTGTAAATAGAAATGCGATCAATCTAACCAAAATAAATGTATCCCAGATGACTGCTAGACCAGCTGGCTACCACAGTCTTCAGATGGCTAAATGCTCAACTGAGATGGATTCAGCATTATATTTACTACTACTTTTTTTATTTCAAAATCAGCCTATAATTAAAAAAAGATTCTTGGTCCGGTTAAAAGAGGCAATGCTCACGACTGGCAGTGCATCATTCTGAAATGGACACTGATATTTTTCATTTCTGGACATGCCTTTGGAAGATTGTGTTTTTAGAACAGATGGACTTGTCATAATACAGACATACTTAGTATGGTGAAAACTAGTAGACGGCTCAGGTTGGCCATATCCATGTAATGTGCAAAATGAAGTTAAGGGAAACAAATGCTGCACTCAACTAGTGGGGACTTGGTATGATTTTTAGCAACCCCTCTACAGTGAGAGTTTTGGGTTTTTTTAAACACAAATCCAAAACCCATAAAGTCATCTTAAAATTTGTATGAGGGGATTTCCCAATAGTCATGGTGAGCTATCCTGCAAGACGCCTGTCTGGGCCTTCCACTATTTGTTACCAGGTCTACAAAGGCAGCCCTGTATGTTGGATTATATTTAGCCAGCTGTTGGATAACATTCCTGTGTTGTGGGCGGAGGAGTCTTATTACTTCCAAACTGTAGTTATCTGTTTAAAGGAAAAATAGTTTTGGAAAATACATTGAGCTCAGCTGAGGAGTTGCACCTCTCCTGTACCTTTCTCAAATGCTGTGTTTCCAACCCAGCCACTTTAAAACAAAACTGGGAGGAGGAAGAGAGACTTAACTCATAGCTTCAAAGCTGCAGAGACAAGCAAAATGTCAGCAGCTTGTAATTAGCTGCTCATGGTTATGTCAGTGACTGTATCTCTCCAAGAATAACTGTGATGCGTGCCACAAAGTAAGGAAGATAGTCATAACCTAGTTATCAAGCCTGGTTCAAACAAGAGCAAATGGATTAATGAATCTGCTGTGTTCATAAATCAAATATGGATGGATTACATATATAAGATTTACTGAATTCTGCATAATTGAAGGGTGAATTAGGAACTTGTCAGAGGGCACGTTCGCTAAGTAAAAGTGTGAATCCTTTTAAAAATGCAGATGAACTATCCCTGAAAATGTCTTTAAGGGCTCCATCTAGTACAAGCAGCTGTGGGACACTGAAGCATGCTACAAAGGAAAAAACCAAGAGACGCACGGAGGTGCTTAAAAGAAAGGGAGTAATAAAACAAAGAAAGCATGCTGAAATTCTGTTTTGGTATTACAGATTTGATACTAAAATACCACCCCAGAGAAGACTTATTGTGGTCTGATGTGGTTTAAATTGACTCCTCTGTTTGAGTGCAAAAAAAGAAAAAAGATTTTGTGAGGCTCAGTGCAACATCTTGGAGCCAAGCAGAGAGCAGAGTACCAGAAATGCTTGCTTTTAAAGGGACAAGATCAATCCATACTAGGATCTTTCTGTACTCTGCAATTATTTTAGGTCTATGCTGGCAATTCAGCAACATTTAAACAGTGAGATTGTGGGGGGTACTTAATCTGCTCTGATTGGTCTTTTTCCACATTGTTGCTGTAAAATGTTTACATGGCTTTTATCCATACACCTTACAACATTCAGTTTGCATTTCTGTTTGTGTTCATGCTGCACAATTGCTACAAGCCTGGTTTGTTTCCATATTCCCAGCAGAAGTCAGTTTCAGTTCAGCTATGTTTATTTAGCTCCTTAATACACCAAGATAGATAGATTGTATTTTGCAAACACAGATTTTTTTTTTACTGTGAACACAAATTTGTAGGAGGAGATGACTGTATATTAAACCAATAGCTCTTTGAAATGCATGTAATATAATTTAAATATACTTAATTTAATTAATAGAAGGTTACAAAAGCTGGCATTGTCTGAGCCTGTTTAATTTACATCTTAGATTTAGTCAATGAGCATAACCTGCCTGATCGGAATAGTGTATTCTGTGCGCCCAACAGGGTGGAAGACATTATTTTGTTTGTGTTAGTTCAAACAGCTGGTCATTAATGCAGGACCCATCTCCAGAGTGAAGTGCTAGTGGACATGAATGGCTCCCTGATTAATGCTGCCCCTCGAAGGGTCCTTCATCCAGCAGCGATGCTTGCAGCAGAATAATGCAGCATGATTTGATTGCGCTCTAGCAGGGTAGTATGTCATTGTGTCACCAGGCAATTGAGGTTATTATGGAGCAGGGCAGACAGACGGGACAGTGGGGTTACTAGACCGTGGCATTTTTAGAAATACAGGCCTGACCTACTTAGAGTTATTCTTGCTGGCTGGCAGCTTCATGGTGCATGGAGTGTCCTGATAGGCCAAGGCTGTTGCTAGGGGGAATTAGCATGAATTTTTCCACATACAGACTCGGTGATTGAATGATAAAAGCTGACTGGAATTAAAGAGATTCGGTTCAGTATTATGCAGATTTATCTCCCTCATTTTTCTCTCTCAAATGCAGAAAAAGGAGCAAAAGACAGTTTGTTTCCATTTATTCTTTGACCTATTTTTTGCAGAGGAGGGCAAAAGAGTTATGAAATGTTAATCATTTACTGTTTTAATCTCTAAAATGATACTGCAAAGGGTAAGATATTTAAGTTCATAGACTGCTTGGAACAGGTAACAGATTAGTTTTTTTCCCCCTCTCTCTCTCTCGTGTGCACTGCACTATTTTGAGGCATGCATCTTTCATATACTGTATATTTGAACTCTGTTCCCTTTAGAAGAGAATGAAACATGTATATACATTTTGTTCTATCCAAACAACTGGCTTGTTTAAAAGAAGCTATGTAGGATTCCCAGTTTGGAAAGGAAAATATATACCAGCTTTTATTGCATAACATTATTCTTGACTCTTTTTAGCTATCCTTGCTTCACAAAATTAGTCTGTTTATGTTCCTGGATGAAATTCTTCTCCCCAGTCTCTGTCTCCCATATGCACAGACACACCCAGGATTTTCTACAGAGGACAGTGTTGTGTGTAGTGTTTATCTGGAAAACTGTTTGCATACTGAAGACATATCTGTACAGCATGTACAGTAGATAGTTATAGCTGGCCTGTGATCAGTTTGATAAGATAACCTCTTCTGGATTTCCAAATAGCTTTCTGTGTTCAGTTTGGAACTGGATTTTCTCAGTAGCTCTTTTTTTATACCCATCCCCTTAAATCAGTGTGGTGGTGGTTTGTTTAACAGAATTCTAACCTCCCTTCAAGAGGCAAATAAAAACAATAGTCAATCAAGACTTCTTTGATGTAATTGTGAATATTTCCTTTGTTGTTATCACTAATTATAGAAAATCTGTGTTTATATCACAATTCTCCTCTGTTATCCTTCTCCATTCAAAGAAGTAACAATCTTGTGCTTGCAATTTTAAATTAATTTCCATGAATACACGTTATGATGTCACAAGCAAAGAATTATAAGTTCTTGAAATAGAGGGAAGAGATGGAATGTGGGAAAGAGAGACAAAAATATTTATTTGTAAAATAAGAGTGTGACTGTATGATGAAAGGCAAGTTGATTTGTGCTTGAAACTTTTCATTTAAAATTTCTTTTAAATGCTTTTTAAAGTGATGTAAACTGTGTTCATAACTGTCTAGACACCCAGAATTCCCAGTGAATGCAAAGTTTTCTGGCCCCTCTATTTTGCCACCCCACAGATTCTTGGACAGGTATGAAGATGAAGCAATTGAAAACTGAGACATACATTCTTATGTCTTAGTCCCCCTCCCCCCAAAAGCCCTTAAGTCTTCTGATCACTACTCACATACAGATTTAAATTTCTGCTATCTCTTCTCCACCTTTGACTCTCTCCTCAAACACAGACCATCTCCTTACCTCTTCCTCAGTCCAAGGGGTTGGCAGTGTTTTTTAAGAAAAACTGACACTATCTGATGCAACTGGCTAACTTCTCAAAGATAAACTCAGTATCGGATGCTTGCAGTATCCTTCCCACTCTCTGGTTCTGACCTCTCAACCTATTCCCTTGACCTCATCCCTACTTTTCTTCTGATCTGGTGTCCCCCTTAGCTCTGTCTTTGGCTGCCACTTCTTCTACATGAAATCCTTGGGTGGTCTTAACTGATCTCATGGCTTCAACTACCCTCTCTATACTGACAACTCACAAATCTACCTCTACACCCTGATCTCTTCCTGGTTCAGACTTGCATCTGCAAATATCTCTCTGATATCTCTAACTGTATCAGCTCAAAGACATGCCTCCCAGAGCTCCCAGGTCTTCAGGGAGTATATGCCTACGGCTATATCTTGTAAGGGGATACATTCTTGTAAGAAGATGTATCAATCATTACTTCTTTGGTTTACCAGCTCTACTGATAGATGCAGAAGAGGGTTGGGCTACGGCCATGCTCGACCCCTTCCTGTCCCTTTGGGTATGCATTTGGGAGCAAGCCTCCCAGCTCAGGTTCACAGAATTGTGCTAATGGGGTTCACACTAGCATGCTAAAAATAGCTGTGTAGATGTTGCTTTGACATTGTGACTTGGGCTGGAGCTTGGGCTTTCCAGTCTACCTTCCTTCCCCTAGGCTTGAGAGCTGCAATGTCTACCCAGCTATTTTAAACCCCTTGGTGTGAGTTGTGGACCCAGGCTAGGAAGCTTGCTCTCCGATGCAGTGTAGACACATCCTTTTAGGGTGGCTTGTGCTCGAGGCTAGCAGGTGGGCAGCCTCTGTGCTAAGGAAAGGAAGGAATTGGGATTGTGGCTAGCTCCTGGTGGAGGAGAAGCCTGGTTTTGCCCTCCTACCAGCCTGCCTCTTCCCAGGCCAATCACAACCCAGTCTTTAATTATGATTTGGAATCTCTTTCAAGGGGCTTTTAACAGCCCCTAGAAATGAGATCTCTAGTCCACAGAACTGAAACATCAGCCAATAAAGATGAATGTGCAATAAGGTGTGTGTGTGTATAAGAGAGGGAAATATGCTTGCAACCTTTCTTCTAGGAAAAATGAACGATTAGGTGTCCTGAAATTCTAGCACAGCACTGGATGCAAAAGATAGGAGGAAGGATTCTAAAGGAAAGCGAAGAAATAATATGGCAGCTTTCCGAAACAAGCATTGTCCAAACAAGTCTACGTATTCCTTGATGTTTGGGATTTCAGTGCAGAACATGTCTCTTCCCAAAGAGAGAATGTTTTCTTACCACAAGCTACAAAATCAGTTGGTTTAATAAACCATTGCATTTTTCTGTGCATCTAATAAGCCACTCAGTGTCCCATAAATTATATTTGACAATAGGTTACTTTTCTAAAATTCTTTTTAAAGTGACTCCAAAAAAAAAAAGAAGAGATCCAATCTGGTTTCCTTTGCAATACCTTAAGTTCAAAGGCATAATGAACTGACAACCTGTACTTGGTGGAAGAGGGACAAAAGAAGATTCATGTAATAAACCTGTTTACCCACATTCTTGTCTTGATGTTGGTGGAAACTGTAAGTGGCAGAAACATAGGCTTAATTAACCCAAAAGAGCAAGAAAAATGCTTTTACTAAACCTCACAAAAAAGCAGCATATCCCGGAAGATTTTGAAAGAAACCTCTACATTAAAAATATTGTAAATTCTCTGCATTCCTTTAAAAACATGTTTATGGTAATCTTTCCTGATTGCCTTCCAATGACCTCCTTTGAGACTCCTGTTGCTGCAGCAGCTCCTGCTTTTTAATTAAATGTCACTTGTCTGCAATGACAATTCTAGAATACTGCCTGCCATCATCAGATTCGCTCAAGAGTGTGTCATAAACCCTAGCATTGCTGCAACTAAAGATGATTCACTTTTAACAAAAGCGGCCTGTGATTTTGGTCCTATCTCCACTTGGAACTGTGAAGTCCTAAAAGTGTCCATGTTGTTTGGTATAGTGTTAACAGTGAAGTCTTGGGTGGTTATGGATTTGTCAGACATTTTATACTATAACCACACAACCTTCCAGTTTGCTGAAAATGGCCATATGATATAGCATAAAAATATGGCAATGCAGGTCTGCATTTTCTTGCCATCAAGAGAATAGAGCTGTGAGGAGTAAACCACCTTCTTTAGCCTTCACTAGGATTGCCATATTTCAACACTGAAAAAAGAGGACACTCCACGGGGGCCTGGCCCTGCCCCAACCCCGCCCCTTCCCCACCCCCGGCTCCGCCCCAACCTCGCCCCTTCCCCAACTCTGCCCCCTCCTCTGAGCACCCTGCATTCCCCCTCCTCCCTCCCGCTCTGATCTTGGTTGGGGGTTGCTAAGTGCTTCCCTGCTCCCCACTAGCCCTGCAGCCCCCCCGCCCCTGCAGCCTCTGTGACCCCTGCTCCCCACTCACCCTGCAGCCCCTG